TACTTAAATAGATTACGTATGATTCTTTAGCCGTTAGCCAGACACAAAAGACGTAAGACGAGAACGCGTCGCGGAAGCAGTGCCTACATTATATGTCCTCCAGACAGAATTTCGATCACGGCTGTCAGCCTCAACAGAGAGTAGCCACCGACGCAGGAGGAGATTGTAGTTCCCAAGTGTATGCGCAAGCGCAGGTGCACTTTCTATTCCCTCACTCCTATATTTCGATGAGAGATATTAGGCGCAGGACCGACGGCTTTACGTGCTTTCCGAGGCACGGGTTCGAGACATCGCCAACTTCCTGACTTCGGGTAGCTACGCTACTGAAATTTCTTGTCGGAAAAATTCAATAACTGTTTTTTTTAGACTTCACCTAAGATTCGAACCCGGGACCTGACGATAAACAGACGTGTTTATAAATTGATTTTTCCTGCCTCATTGGTCTAGCTAGTGGTTATATAGGCTATTAAAACGTCGGCAAAGTAGATCACGTCAAAGAAGTGCAACTTCTATACTTAGTACTATTATTTGTTCTGTGGTTATGGTAATGCCTAAGGGCTATGCGATCGCCCTAATAACACAGTACGCGTGCCATCTGGGTTGTACCAACGAAATTTTTTATTACAATTTTAAGTGCTGATTTAACACGTGCTCGGCGGTAAAGGAGAAAATCCTGAAGAAACCTGCACGTCTGATGAATAAAAATAATATAAAGTCATGAGAGATCCGCCAATACGCATTGGATCAGCGCGGCTGACTTATTGCTCCATAAGCCTCTCAGAAACGAGACCATTTCTGTGCCCAGCTGTGAGATGTATACAGACTGTAACATTAAACCTACCTATTTTTAGTCCTGTAAGTATAGATACGGTGACACAGTTTACATTACGTAAAACTTCTGGTAACTGTTTATCTTAGCACGCTTACCATATGGCAGTAAATCTATTTTAGGTATCTATAATTGTTTCATATCGAGTAATTATCCGTTACTTTGAACGGCATTAGTATACGGACTACATCGTGGAATACAATTTCTCAACTGGACGTGTTCGGCCTAACTACTGTTATTCAATTGTTCCGAAAACTATTCCCACTTGAGAAGAAACTAAATTAAACAGCGCAGCGTCTAAAGACGAGGTTTTACATCATCCATTACTTTATTAAAGTTCATTAATATATTTTACTAAGAAATATAAGAATAACGAGTGTATTATGTGTACTATATTTGATTTATTTAGTTCTTTCGTTCCAATTTTCTTAAGCTTTATCCTGGCTAATTAGCTTATCAGTATTAAAATAAACTATGAGTAAACTTCTAGTACCTATTGAAAAATAAATCAATTGCGACTTCTTAGTTAAATTACATTCAGTATATCTTATTAGTTCTATATCACTAGGTTATTTCATCACATTTGTGTAATAAATTATGCTTAATAGTGTTTATTATAAATGTACAAAGTTCACGTAGTCGCGTGCTTAGGACGAGATCTAGTTAGCAGATTTGGATCTGCAATACAGCGCCTGTTTGCCGTGCAAGTTGCGCTCTTCGCGTTCCCATCTCCGGCGCTGTTCATTAGACAGTTAACCGTCGGCCGAATTGTGGATCACGTCCCGCTATCAGGTGCATTGCAAACAAAAAGCTGAATAGAGGCCCGGTTAAGCATGCACGACGGGTGTACCGGTATAATTAAAGTTTAGGAGACGCTCACGTCGCCCGTTAACCTCGTTATCGGGCGCTGGAAGTGGGTGAGACGCGGCGGGGAGGGAGCCAGCCTCGGGCCAGGGACGCGGGGAAAATCAATGAGAGCCGCCGCGCGCCGTCTCTCCCCGGCCCGACGCGTTCATCTCGCGGCCACGTGCCACGTTCACTGGCTCGACGGTAACCCAACATCTTGCTTCCACACCACCATCATTATCCTAGAGCCATATTAAGTGCATTGCGTCTCTGGAACTCAACCCTGTCCTATTCTATCAAACATCAAGGAAGCCATAAAAGCCGCGCTTTTTACATCATGTAACTGACGCGTGGTTGGTCCCGTCCGTCCGAGTGGCTTAGTATCGGTCAACAAACAAACCCCGCTACATGTAACGAAGCCTTGCCGCCCGTCAAGGCGCCCGCTCGCCTGTTAAATATGTAACTCTGTTTTGGGTATGTAGGTCGCACTCGGAAATTTGGGTTATCGTTTGGCCGCGTCGATATGCGACACTTCCGCCTCGCGGCCGATGCTATGCAGTCGTCAATATTATTGCCTCGATATGACTTACGTAACGGTGTGTGAATGCCAGATATTGTGTGGTAAGTGACGTAGCGCTGACGCGGCGATCATATGTTTCGTCGAGGTCTGTTTGTTGTACCATTCCGTGACTAAAGGAATAAATGTATTAAACCTCATATAATATAATAATGCTCCAATCCTGCTCTAATACGACTTTATAAATACTTATTGCACACTGATCAATTTTTTGAGATTACATTCGAAAATCATTCACTTTGGGTTATAGACAAATAATCGACGTAATTAATATTTTCGTGAAACCCTTAAATCTTAATGCACTTTCTACTTTTAAAAATGATGAACACACCAATGTATATATAGCGGTAAAACAATTCGAGTAAAATATACATAAATAGGTCTCCAAAAACAAGCAAACAAGAGCATTGAATCGGCGGTTTCGGAATTCACGCATCCGAATGTTTTGTATCGCGACCATCGTCGATCAATGTCAACCGCATATTTAGGTCAACGTCCGTCCGACGAAATTCCCGCGCTTCGCGACGCGTCATTTCCTGTAACGCATGCTGTGGATTTTTATTATATTGAGATGAATCAACATAATTTTACCATTTTAAGTTTTTCATCGCATTTTAAACAAAATAAGTTTATATTGGAATGCAGAGGAAAATGTATTATGACATCCTTAGTCCTTACATGCACAGTAATTCTATGTTTCTAACTTCATTATAATTATTAGAAGCTAAGGACCTATCTACTACTGATTTTTTTTGATTTTTTTTTACATATTCTTCCGAAAATAAATCGCGAACTTATAATTGTAGTTGATGTGATACGGTTACGGCAGCCGTCCAATTTGGGTTCCACACACCCCGTTGTAGACTGTAACTCATATCATACTGTTGCGTAGGCTGCTTAGACGTTTACAGCCTACGGCATTGCATCGTTAGTATTCATACTTCCTCGAAGCCTCTTCGTGAAATATGCCTCAAAATCACGTCGTATAGTTTACTCTGTTGAATTTATGATAAATTCGTATAATGCATCACAAATATACTGTGCAGTGTAGACTTAAACTTATCTGAGCAGCGTCATGAAATAAAGCTGTTTATTTTTTATTACGTTTTGTCTATGTTTATGTATAACAGTAAAGCGTATTATCAATCTATGGTGGAGATCTATGGTTAGCAGAGGACTTCTGATAGTCTGTAGTGGTGATGACGATAGTGATTCGAAATATGAATTTGCTACTTTTTCTAGTTTTAGAAAACTCGGATTTCCGTGTCAATTTAAATTAGATTTCAGATTTTTTCAATACACTTAAAGATAAGATTTTTAAACTTTTCTTAGTAGTCACTTACTGGTATTTTGTCAATTGTATACACATTTTTGCACTGCATCCGAGCTTTCCTTTTCTACTCTGTCATACTTACAACGCGTAACAGCCAGTGTACGCGAATGCGTATGGATGGATTTAATGCTATTTAGTGCCTTTTGCCGCGTACACTTGCACTGTATCTCCTGGTCTAGCTTCCTAAATTATAGGCAAGTTCATAATGAACTACGAGGGTGACACTGAAAGTTCTTAGAAAATCAAAACTTGAACAAACTAGCAAGTTATTCTTTATTAGTTTTATAATATTTTTTCAAAATAGTGTCCATTTACATCAATAGAACCACTGAGAAAAGCACTTTCCACTCGTCCTTAGGGGTCTCTTCACAGAAATAGTAATAATAAGACATTATTATTACGACTTCTGTGGGTCTCTTCGACGGCATATTGAAAGGCAACCACTGCTTCCTCGGCGTACATAGAATGTTTTCTTCGAAGTTTTTCTTTTATTTTCGGTAATAAATAAAAATCGCAAGGTGCGAGGTCGCAGCTATATATCTTGTTGACTTAAATGACATTGAAAGTCATAAAAAATCATTGTACGAAAATTTTCTCGCGTTAAATTCATGCTGACGTGACACAGACAATTTTCAATTTGCCGCCAAATCGTAAACAAATGACAAATTAATAAAATACATACACAATAATATTGGCAAAGAGTTCCATTTTCAAAATTTGATATTTTTTTGTTATATCGATTACAAGTGGCCAGTTCTAAAAACTTTCAGTGTCGCCCCCGTATAACTATCACTATTATTACTACAACCTATCACAAATTTACCGCTGAAATATAGATTAGCCTATAGATTATCATACAATATGGATCTGAGTTACATATATCCATCGAATGGGTCGGTTCGACTAGGGAAGGACCACGCTCTCGTGGCGTGAAATAGTAGTTTAATGCTGCTGTATTTCGTATGGTGAGTGTAGAGAACCGGAGACCCTTTTTACTGGAAACGAGGCATTCCATCTTAGTCCTCACGGGTGATAACGCATCTGCATTTTGATTCGTAATCGAGGATAGATGTAGATGTCTATGGGCCACAGCAACCACTTACCATCAGGTGGACTGTGTGCTCGTTTGTCACCCTATCCTATAAAAAAAATCGATTATCAGCATGTTTCATCAGGTCTTCACTCCATCTAGTGGGCAACTGCGCTTTCCAGTACGAAGCTGCTGCCGTTCGGGAACCTTCCTTTTCCATTGGTTATCGATTCTTCGAGTTATCCAATGGGCTATGTTAGTTATTCTTGACCGAATATCCTTAAACAAACTATGGGAACATAATCATCATTATGCTACTATGCGCCAAAATTACTTTATTCCTCTATATTACTCTACAAAATTATTATTTTTCTCTTGCCTCCAGGTATACTATGCAAAAAAGAAACGAAGAGCACAACAGTACCTGGGCGACGACGGTTCACACAAGAAAGAGAGAAAGCTATACAACGACGGCTATGATGACGATAACCACGACTACATAATCAAGCAGGGAGAGAAGTTCCTCGACCGGTACGAGATTTCGTCGCCTATCGGCAAGGGCTCCTTTGGACAGGTGAGAAAAACTTGTAACATATTTCTTCACTTGTGATCTATATCAGCATAATGAGCATTATGAAAGGACTTTCGGTTTGTAAGATTTAAAAACCGAAAACTTCCATACGGTTTACGGAGTATCTATCTATCAAATGGCCTACAATCATTACAGTTCATTACAAGTTCACTCATATACGGTCCTGATTAAGTCCTGATCTCGTGAGGTTCCTACGTTAGCTGCCACGAAGTTGCCTACCAGAAACTTACGTATATTTATGTACTGGACTTCTACATACAAACAGCTTTACATCCCGTGTAGGGGCGGTGTAAGATTATCCACTACCCCATATCGTCCTGCGGGTGTTGTAAGAGGCGACAGAGGGAAATTTAAACAGGAGATGGGCAGCAGCATCTTCCTAATAACAACGTAAAATGATTAAAAAACTGCGGTTGCCAACCTGTCTGCCAAGCGTCCAGGCAGTTTGTGGAGGAGACCTATGTTCAGCGGTGGGCTACAATAGGTTTTGTTAGACGGATAGAGCTTTATAAGAGAAATATAAAATCAAGTACATATTTTATAAAATCAAGATTAAATACATTAAGCAACGCTTAATGTATTTAATTTTGATTTTATAAAATATGATGTTTTTTTTAAATATTTTACAACGTCCCTGTACAAAGAAAGAATTGTAAATGTTTGGATCTTTTATTTCCGTCATGTTTTCAAGCTGGGTCGATTTCTGTGCACTCTTAGTCATATGAGAGTTATATTTTTAAGGAGTCATAAGTATCTGAATTTGGGATTTTTCAAACATTTAAAAGTACATAATTCCGAAAATATTAACCTTATCTTATACGTGGTAGAGCCATGCTGCAGTTATATTTGTAGTATAGTTGTAGCGCGAATGGGTCGGCTCGACCGGGGAAGGACCACGCTCTCACAGAATACCAGCGTAAATGCTGCTGTGTTTCGTATGGTGAGTGTAGACAGTAGAGAACCAGAGACCCTTTTAACTGCAAACGAGGCTTTCCATCTTAGTCCTTACGGGTGACAACGCATCTGCATTTTGATTCGTAATCGAGGATAGATGTAGATAGATGTCTATGGATCACAGTAACCACTTACCATCAGGTAGACTGTGTGCTCGTTTGTCACCCTATTGTATAAAAAATATCGTATAAAGTCATAGGATCTTTTCTATTCATATTTCAACAAAAATATTTATAAAATATCCTGTTTGAAAATAACAATTCCTTGCAATTAAAAAAAAAAACGGTTGAAACAATATGACACCGAGTTGCCCCATGGCAACATGCATTAGAATAAAATAGAATAATTTTTAAAGAAATCTTGTGTATTTTCTTGGACTTTGTTGTAATAGCGTATATATACATTGCCCCAAGAATGTATTACTGACTACTCTGGGAGTCGAGAAACTGGTATATCACTAGCTTGTGTTTGTTTCGAGTTTTTGCAGCGTATACACACACATATATATATATATATATATATATATATATATATATATATATATATACATTCAAGTAAATAAAACTTTCATAGTCTTATATAATTATCATTTACTTTTAAATTTTGAATCTAGCATAATAGTTCCTATCATGTCTGGGCTCTCTTTATTGTTTATTTAGACTTTTTATATGTATCTATGTTTATACATCATAAATTTCCCAACATTAATATACGAAGTGTGTTCTGGAATAACGGGAATTTTCTTTTTTTTTCAAAATAAAAATATTCGTCTATATTAATGTTGTTGCCTTCAAAATAGTCTCCATTTAATATTATGCACCTGTGCCAGTCCTTCCAATCCTCGAAACACTTCTCAAACTCGATCTTTGGGATACTCGACCTTTAGCACTTTCGGCGATGCAAAAAAAGACGGCCCTTTAAGTTCATTTTATTTTTGGAAACAGGAAAGTCATGAGGAGACATATCTGTTGAATATGGATACCGGGGAATCGTAATAGTATTATTTTGGCCAAAAACTGACGAACAAGCAATGAAGTGTCAGCTGGTACATTATCATGGTGCGAAAACCATGAATTGTGTTTTCACAAATCCGGGCGTTTTCTTTTCGGATTACTTTCCGCAAATGGCGTTGAACTTGTAGATAGTACTCCTCAATTGACCGTTTGACCTCGTGGCAAGAATTCATGATGCACTATGCTATTCAAGTTGGACTTACCTAGTCGGACTATTTGTCCCAGGTAAACGTACTCGTCAACAACTTCGAGCATAGTGCTCCCAAAAACCGATGGGGAAGAAAGGTTCTCGAGTGGCAGCCTCGTACCGGTAGGCGTAGTGTAGGGCGACCCCCCCACTAGATGGAGTGACGACCCGGTAAGACATGCAGGAAGTCGATGGATGCAGGTGGCTCAGGACCGTGCTTTGTGGCATTACTTGGGAGAGGCCTATGTTCAGCAATGGACTTGTGAAGGGCTGTAATGATGATGATGATGATATGCTATTCAAATCAAAGAACCCAGTGAGCATAACCTTCACATTCGACCGTACTTGTCGAGCCTTTTTCGGTCTTGGCGAGCCAGAATGCTTCCACTGGGACGATCGAGCCTTAAGTTTCGACGACATATCCGTAAACCCATGTTTCGTCACCTGTTATAACACGTTTAAGTAAACCTGCATCGTCATTGACTTCATTTAGTGACTCCTGAGCAACTTCCATTCGCCGCTGTTCAAAATTCAACAATTTTGGAACAAATTTTGCTGCCACGCGTTTCATACCCAAAACATTCGAAAAAATTTCATGCCATGATACAATCGATATGCCAAAATCATCAGCGACCTCTCTGATTGTGATTCGGCGATCGTTCATAACCATTTGTTTATCTTTTTCGACGTTTTCATTGGTTGTTGATGCGTCTGGTGCGTTCGCCATCTTCAACGTCTTCACGGCCATCTTGGAAACGCTTAAACCACTCGTAAACTCTTGTTTAATCATACCAGCCTCACCATAGGCCTTTGTTAGCATTTCACATACTTTGTTTCAGTTTTTACGCAAAATTGGATACAGATTCTTTGATCCATTTTTTAACAAGCTAAAATCACCGAGCTCATAGAAAAAACAAACAAAATAAACAATGAATACAGCTGAAAATTTTATCATTCTTTATTCAGGAGCATGTATACCAACATAATAAAAAAAATTGACAATAGGAGTGTCCAAATCCGCAAAATTTAAAAATTCCCGTTATTTTATGAACACACCTCGTAATATCACTGAGTATGGAATCTCGTGTGTACAATAATATTTAGGAAATCAATGCATTCACACTGTACTACACTTACATTCTCTGATAGGCTCTGAAGACTGTACGACGTCGCTTAAAACTAGTCCCAACTTATTTCTCGTATAGCCATTGGTGTAACTTACTCCTGATAGGCGACTAATCTACGGACTAATCGTATGGACAGCGCCTGATTTAATTAATTAGAGTTCTGACAGTATTAGGCTAACTATAAATATGCGCCCCCTTGACCTGTCCTGTCTGTGCCTGCCCTGGCAGAAATCATCGGAAAGTAGCCATCGGCTTAGGACAGGATTATAGTGCCAAGCGTATGCGCAAGAACAGATGCACTCTCTGTTCCCTCACTCTCATAGCAAAATGGGACGGTAAAACGACACGACCAGAGAGAGATTAGGCGTAGGATCAACGGCTTTACGTAGTTTCCGAGGCACGGGGTGAGACGCCGCCAATTTCCTGATTTAGGGCAGATACTGAGAATTTTTTGATGGAAAAGCTCAGTAACTGATTTTCACTCGATCCGGGATTTGAATTCGGAACCTTAAGATCAGCAGTTGCACTATTGCAACCACTACATACGAGGCAGTCAAACAGATCTTATCAACCAGATTTTGCATATTTGACTATTATTATTATTATTATTAGAAAGTAAGTATTTTCCTTAAACCAGTTTTTAGACAGGGTTATTTTTTAACTGTTATTTTTATATATCTAATTTTGTGACGAATTATAAATAATTCTCGAAGTAAAGGAAATCCAATGTCACATTGGTTTTGGTTTGGTCATTTTGGTCGTTCACGTTTATTTGCTCTTATTGTTAAATCGGATCTAAAAATATCTCAATAAAGATACGTTTCTATGAAAACTTGAGGCCGATTATTAATCTAAATAATATTAACTTTAAAAATAACTTTATAGCCAATAGTTTAAATCTTCATTTTGTATTGAGCTTAGTTCGAAAAAGCTATTATTGTATAAAAATGGCTATAACCGGGCCATCGAGCAAACTTTCTGGTTAAGCGAACAGGGGAGTTTTGTTTTTCTTTATTTTTAATACAACCCTAGTCTTTTATTCTTCGACTCCTTATTGTCGTCATCGCTGAAGTGAGCAAGATTACCGATATTTTTAATGTTTAGTTAAGCACTTGCAAATCTCTTATAACGCTGTCTGTTCTCGTTTCTATCTCATATATAAAACTTGAAAGCAGATTCTGTTTTACTAGGCGATTGATTTTTCATGTTATTGAATAAGGGATGGGTAGGTACTTTGAACGATGTTCATTTTGATGCATTTTATGTGCTGGGTGATGTCAAAAGCATTTTCAATAACATTATTGATAAGCTGTGACATTGATGGCGTAAATTTTACAATTTAATTAATTAATAACTAAAATAACACCACCCCTGTACTAGTGTATATGTAATAACTATTGAAATTAATCGATGGAACAAAAACCAATGAGTAAAATTTGATATTAAACTTGAGCCGTTTGTGAATTAGAGAAAGTTAAAGCTAACTATAAAATACGGAAGAACCAAGTATTTCCCCCGAGACGTGTTCATTTACAAGACAATGGAGATGTTCTGGTTGCGTTCCGAACAGACATTCCAGGGCGGTCTGCGCTAATGATAATTACCCCTGGATGTCCCAGTGTGGTGTCGATTAAAAATTCACGTCATGAAAAGACAAACACTGTTTTAAACAACGTGTGGGTTTACAAAATGTATTATTACATTTTAGATATGCCAAAAATGGCTTCCGATAGATGGTAGGATACGATCTCAACTGCGATCGTCAAATCGCTCGCTAAGCGTGATGACTAAGGCAAATCCTCTGTACAACAGGAGAGACCCGTGTCCAGCCGTAGATTTTTACACAATGAAGCAGAACAAAATATGTAATCTCTATATATAAAAATCAATGGCTGTCCGTTAGTCTCGTACAAACTCCACAATGACTCGACCGATTTTGATGATTTTTTTTGTCTATATTTGAGTGGATCCCGTGGTGAGTGGTGGCGCTGTTGTCGAGATCCATAAATCACCCGTGCAAAGCCGCTAGTATTGTATATTGTTTGCTTATGATGTTTACATCATCTTTTGAGTTATTTATATACTAAGGGTAAATGAAATATTAATGTGTAACCTTTCGTTAATGTATGTCGTATGTTCTCGATATAAGTCTTGGATACATTTTCAACAGACACATCATTTTGTTAATTTCAGTTTTATCTTTTTAATTCTAACTTATACCTGACATCTCAAGTTTTAAATTAAAAAAGTTTTAAATTTCTTTATTTTCAGGTTGTGAAAGCGTATGACCACGAGGAGCAGTGTCAAGTAGCGATAAAAATAATTAAGAATAAGAAACCCTTCCTAAACCAGGCACAAATAGAAGTCAAGTTACTAGAAATGATGAACAGGGCAGATGCCGAAAATAAGTATTATATAGGTAAGAATTCCTAAATTAATAAATCTAATAACAGTTCTATCCATAGATGTTTTGAGGTACAAGGAAACAATCTAAGATAGACTTATCCTTTCCCTTCTGAGTGTATTAGTATGTAGATTCTGTTTCAAAAATTCTCTAATGTAGTCGTACTTGTTAAGACTAAACGAATCTCCTTTCATAGAAGGAAAAAAGTCTTCTTTACAACCTACTCTAGCTCCACCACTATATAAAACCGCCTTTTCATGATGCATCAGTTGGCATGAAACTTCTAAAGTTTTGCCATTAGTCACGATCCATTGAATGGCGATATACCAGTCGTATAATGCAATATGTAAATAAACATTTACCAGAAACTGAGGACAGCGACGAACGTGTGAGAAATTTGGTACTTCGATCGCCAATCCCCCTGCCAATTGTGGGGATTACGACAAATCCTTCTTCAATAGAGTTAAGCTTATATCTTTCTGTGAACTGTTACGGACGAACAAAGAAGAAGAGGATACACTGGTACACCAGTCTGGAGGATTTGTATTATACGACGCTTTCAATAAGGTCTATTGACTATATTTCGGTCTAAAGTCCCCCTCGTTAATTTTACGTGGTAGAGCCACGCTACAGCTATATCGTAGTTGTAGCACGAATGGGTCGGTTAGAGCGGGGCAGGACCACGCTCTCGTAGATTACCAGCGTAAAATAGCAGCGTAAAGCTGATATGTTTTGTATGGTGAGTGCAGAGAACCGGAGACCCTTTTTACTGAAATCGAGGCATTCCATCTTAGTGCTACAACGCCTTTGCGTAACAACGTATTTGCATTTTGATTCTTAATTGTGGATAAATGTTGATGTCTATGTGCCACAGCACCCACTTACCCAATGCTATAATAAGAAATTAATGGGATTGCACCATGTACAGGTGAGGTTACCTACAAGGCAAAAAAAACATTGTAACATTTCTAATTTTCGTCCATACATTACAGCGTTATCAAAGTTTATTGCTGGGCTTCCCCTAAATTGCTTCTTTAAGGGCGGTGATTACCATAGCTGCCACGGTTGGCAAATTGGAAACCGCAGTTTCTATATTCTAGATATTTTGAAGAAGACGCTGCTGCCCAACTATTTTGTCGCCTCTTACAATCGTCACGGACGATGTGCGGTAATGGATTCTACCCTGCCCTTTTATGGTCTTATAACGTTAAATTTTAACAAAATGGAAACTTACTAAGAATAATTGTATTATTTCCAGTGAAACTGAAGCGTCACTTCATGTGGCGGAACCACCTGTGCCTCGTGTTCGAGCTGCTGTCGTACAACCTGTACGATTTGCTGCGCAACACAAACTTCCGCGGCGTCTCGCTTAACCTCACGCGCAAGTTCGCGCAGCAGCTCTGCACCGCGTTATTGTTCCTTAGTCAACCAGGTGAGTAGCTAAGTTGACCTGACTTTGTAGGTGCTGTGTACAACATACTGAGATTAAACAATGGCGTACTGCGGACCTAACCGTAGACAGCTTCCGTCATCGGCAACTTGAAAATCTCAAAATTGATTTGTTTTTACCGGTCACATGATGAGAATCAATCATGACATCATTGCTGATCACATATTTAGAATAAACACAAAAACTGGTTCAACATCAGCCGAGTGACACGTGATGTGTGGTAAGGGAAGAGCGAGTGGCGATTGTAAAGAAAAATTACGTGGTAACTTAATCTTGTACTTGATAAAGCCATCCGCAACTGTAAATTTGCTGCAGCGCGAAGGTTCGGTTGAATCGGGGAAGGGCCACGCTCACACAGAATTTTAAACAAGCTTTAAATTACAGCTTAGTACTTCTGTTTCGTATAGCGAGTGTAAAGAAACGGAGACCCCTTTTAATGGTAACAAGAAGGCATTCCATCATAGTCCTCAAGTGTGACAATCGATTCTTAACCAATGGTAGATGTCTCCCAGACTAAACTTCGGTCACGGCGGTCAGATACAACGGAAAGAAGCAATATGCGCAGCACAATAGGGCCAACGGCTTTATACACACATTCTAGTCGTTTATCTACGGCAAAAGTTCAAAAGACAAAAATCTACGAAAAAAAGAAAATGACCGGATTATAAAAATAAAATTTGTAATAAATGTAGTTAATATAAAATCAGTGAATTTAAGGTGTATTTTAAAGACTTGCTGCCTTTATTTTGTAGTGGTGACCTTTTTGTTAAAAGAACTCTATTGATTCAATGTCGAACAGTAATGTGTAAAGTAAATGCAAATATATGGTGCTTATGCAGTAATCCATCTATTATTTACTTTCAATTAATCAAGAAGTAAATACTAGAAAAAAAAATACGCTCATATTAAGCACATAAGGTCTTTAACTTTTGATTCATTGTATTCATTCATTCATTATAGTCTGCCAGAGTGCACTGCTGAACATAGGCCCATATTTGCCATAGTTGTCACGTTTGGCAGGCGCATTGACAACTACAGTACATTTTTTTCATCGTAGAGTGACGCTGCAACTATATAGTAGTCATAGCACGAAGGGGTCGGCTCGACCAGGGCACGACCACGCTCTCACAGAATAACAGTGTAAAATAACAGCTCAATGCTGCTGTGTTTCGTATGGTGGGTGTAGAAACCCGAGACCCTTTTTACTGGAATTGAGGCATGCCATCTTAGTCCTCAGGGGTGACAACCCATTTGCTTTTGATTCTTAATTGAGGATAAATGTGGATGTCTATAGGCCACAGCATCCACTTAACATCAGGTAAACTGTGTGAAAAAAAAGTTGTTATCTTAAGTTACTATCAGGAAAATGCTGCTGGTCTTCAACTGTTTCATTTCCCTCTTGCTTATTACGTCACTTACGGGGTGATATTGCGTAGGGGATTCTCTTAAGCCGCGCCGCTACTACACTAATCGGCGTGTAATAAATAATCTTTAACATTTTAAACATACTATGCTTTTGCCTTGCCCACACAAAATGACTCAAACAACATTGTTCCTCTTTTTTTTTCAGAATTAAATATAATTCACTGTGATCTTAAGCCTGAGAACATTTTGCTATGCAACCCAAAAAGGTCAGCTATCAAAATTGTCGATTTCGGCAGTTCGTGTCAACTAGGTCAAAGGGTGAGTTCGTTTTATTTTTTTAATGTAAACATATATTTATATTAATTATAAGACAAATAACCTATAAAAAAAAAGAAATTATTTTTCTCAAATTCTTTTTATCTTGTTTATTTAAAATGTATTCCAGTCATTAAAAAATTGTAGTTGGGTTAAAAATGTTACTGGACTATTAAAATGGAATATTCACCAGCGCTGTATTTTAAGCATATGTAAAGCATACCTCTGCAATACTTCAAGATACTGTAAGCTCGTTCTGCGTATTATAAACTGAAGCTCTCCGGCTAAGCATCGTGCCGTTAAACACCTCAGTCCCCCCTCCCCGTGACTATGGTTAATGTAAAGCACCAGAAATGCCGGGAATTGGAAAGTTAAAGTTAAACGCAATAAAATCTGTAAAATTGGTTTTATTAAATTTTACTACTAGGTATATGAAACCAAAACAATAATCATGTTTTACAAACTGTGTATTGTGGACGTAGTCTTTAAGAGCCCTCTTATATTTCGGTGTTACGCAAATTTAGGTATTTTACGCACCAAGCGGGCGGTGAACGCGAGTGATACTTTCATATCTATTCACTCGCTCGCAGCAGATCTTCCATAATACAAGTTTTCTTAGGATTGAGTTCAATGGATGGAAAATTTTTGGTGTGTCATTTTAATGTTATCTAATTTATTTATTATAATCTATTTTGATTTGATTTTTATTATTTATGAACCTTAGTGTTGAAATGAGAACTCTAAACATTTTAATTGTTACACAGTAATCGATTGTTAACCGATGTTGGTTAATAATCGATTATATCTACTAACGGTACCATAGTGGTATAAATAAAAAATACTACGGTCGCAACCTGTTTTAATATATCAAAAAACCAAAGGTTGCTAATGTTTTTTTTAATCGACACTTACAGTAAATTGCCATATTTATTATATTTTCATCATTTATTATAAAAATATTTTCCACAATCTCGAGTCGCTTACCTCGTGTCGATAATTTCAGTTCACACTTTTCATAAAACGCTAGTAACTTGGGTAACAAATATTCAAAATCCAAAATTGGTCGTCTATGTACATTTTTAGTAGAGATGGGTCGAATATGGACCGAACTTACCTTACGAATGCATATTCGTATTCGGTGAAAGTTCGGTAAGAGTTTTACCGAACCAAATATTCGGCCAAACATTATTCGGCAGGATCACCTCGGTACCTTACCAATTACTGTCGAAACATGTTACCATAAAGCGCGCCGGACCCTGCCCCTCACTCCCCCGTCACAACTGACATGTCGTGGCATCATCTAGTACTGATCTAATTGCCGGTACATGCTTATGTTTTGACTATTTTTGTGAGAAAAAAAGTATTTCGTTGTGTTATTCTTAGTGAAAAATGATAATTATATGATAAAAATGAGTAAAGTGAATTGTACAAATGTAATGTAATGTTTCTTTGTTTGGTTCTAAAAAAATTTTAATAATTGAAAATAAATCTACAGTGCTTCAAAAAAATAACACTATACAAATAGATTTAAACCATAATTGAAATATACTTTCAACAGTAAAATTAAATGAAAGACATGACATTACTCAATTCGTACATTTCAATACAGTGAACACTTTGAGTACCACTTTAACGAATGTTCGGTGATTTAGCCGAATATTCGGCCGAATACGAATATTCGGTAAAGGTGCCGAATATACCGTATACCGAATATGAAACGAATATTCGGCCCATCTCTTATTTTTAGTACTTTTGCTGCATAATCTGGGCCATTCTATATGGCAAGTATACAGATATTCTTATTATCTATTATTATCTCTCCAGAGATAGGATATTTCCTTTTTTACGTTTAGTGACGCATTGATACTTGTATTTATTTTTCATCATTCCGTCTGGTAAGAAAGCTCAGCTACAATCAGAATAACTATAATGAGTTCACTATCTGGCATAATAATAATGTGCGAACTTTATACTAATTGAAATATACGGTACGAAAGTAAATACTTCCAACGATCAAAAACTGCGGTCGTAGTTGACGATGCTCTAGCATGCACAAAATAACAGCGCCTATACGACAATCGACGAACACTAAGGATAATATCGAAACGACGCAGCGCGCGAAATCAACTGACGCAAGTCCAACGTCGACAAGCGCTGGCGCGATAATGATCGCAGATGGCCGTCCCATTGAACTGGTACTTTTATTTAATTAATTAAAAATAATACGTTTTAAAAAGTAAATATGATAGTACAGTTTAAGCAAATGTTGATGATTATTTTGGTATAAATTTTACGTCAAAATGATGTAGAACTTCCGAGATATCGGGGCTTGTATCGAAGCTTTTTCGGTCGTTAATTGAATTATGTCGATTTCTTTTCCCTACATGAAAAGCATATAACGCAAATGTTTTATATGATTATTATAGTATAGGATACTTGTGAGAGAAAAATATTTTTTTGAAGGTGGATGTTCAATAGAATCTACAAATTAGAGCTCCCAAATCATGTCTCTGAGAATTTTTGCCTAAACATGCATCGGGAAAATTATTATTACTAAATAAACAAATAAGGTATCAAAAAATTGCTCTGAGCTTATTGTAGTAGAGATAACGAACTATTTTTACCTAGGAATTGTTATTTCAAGCAACGAACGAAAAATATACAATTTCAACGAGGAACCTTTGTAATTTTTCCTTTTTTTTTGTAATATTTCTCTTAATTACCAACTTGACAATGTCGAATTTTCGTTACTCGATGCATTTTAAATTGCCGTTGTTTAGTAAAATAATTTTAATATAAAAAGAAGTAAATGTAAAAGGAGTAGTAACTTTATTCGTAATCATACATGCAGTTCAAATATATTTTAATTTTCATTAAATTGAAAACAATAAGTGCATTAATTAATAAAGTTTATGTGCATTTAAACCGATAGACGACAGTACTTAACGTCGACATTCTCGATTCATAGACCCTATTCTCCGTACTCGTTAATTGTTCAGATATATCATAATGGGGTCTTCCGATTTAGAGCCCGATGTGGCAAGGGTTATCGCCAATTGCGCGTTAAATATTAAATTAATATTACGCAACGCTGAAGAAACTGCCTTTGGCGGTTGGAGTTTCGATGTCGATAAAACACTTCATTGATGTTTTACGGTCGTTGTTATCGACAGTAATTTATTGATAGTGTTCTAAGTAATTGAATGCTAATTGCGGTAATTTTGCTCGGAACCAGTTCGTATTGTAAGGTTTTAAGTTTTCTAAAATACCAGTTTATTTTATTATTACTGCAACTTGGAATATTTTCTTGGAACAAAAAAGTATCTATTTCGAGACTGCAGATTTCCCTGAGCGTTGATTCTCCAAATCAGCTATATGTTCTTTAACGCGGGTTTTAATTGATCTTTTAGTTTGTCCTTTGTAAGATAGACCACATTCACAATCAAGCTTGTACACTCCTGCATCTTACAGAGGGACATTACACTTAACTGATGGTGAAAACCAACCTGACTGATGTTAAAGACCAATCTTCGGCGGCTTGAAGTATGTTTTAATGGAAGCGCGCTTCAAGATGTAGCCAATCTTGTCTGTGATTTTTCCGACATATAGCAGTACAGCAGGTACATGCTCGACTGTGGCCGGCTTCACTCATTCACTGTGACGTAGGCGCGGCACCCTAAGTTTGTTATCATCCAAAACTTACTTGACGTGTTGGAGCTCGACAGCTAGGTGTTTACTGTCTGGATCCCTCGTGCTCTCTGAAACAAAGATTTACCCACAGTAGCTAACTGTGAAGAATGGTGGTGAGAATCACTGTTTAAATATCTATCTCTATGGGTCTTTTTTCTATACACAGTGTGGCTCAAGGTGTTATCAGGATTCCGAATTACTAACACATCTAGAAAAGCTAAAGAATTGTTTGCCTCTAACTACATTGTGAACTGAATTTTAGAATTTATGGAGTTAAGATGCTAAAAATGAAGTTACTTTATCTATAGGTAGAATTGTGAAAAAATCTTACTTTTCGACTTAGTCTTTAAAAATTGATATTTTATCATCTTTTGCAGATATACCAATACATTCAGTCAAGGTTCTACCGGTCGCCGGAGGTCCTATTGGGAATTCCGTACGATCTCGCAATAGACATGTGGTCATTGGGATGTATCCTGGTAGAAATGCACACTGGGGAGCCTCTGTTCAGTGGAGCTAATGAGCTCGATCAAATGAACAAGATAGTCGAAGTATTAGGGATGCCGCCTGACCATCTACTCGATCAGGTGAGAAAAAATCTGACGATTGCTGTTATAATAAAGATACTGGACGCACCATGTGTTTTGTCTTTAAATGCCTTAATATTATATTCTGATTTGTTGTGGACCTCAAAAAAGTTATTTGCTTAACTTTTTAAAACGTAGTTAAGCTATCATAGATTTAATAAAAGATTTTTGCTGTATCTCTTATGCCATATTAATATTAATTTTGTTATTTCAGGCGCATAAAACTAGGAAGTTCTTTGACAAATTACCGGCGTCAGAGGGCGGTGGTTACGTACTGAAAAAAGTCAACGGAAAGGATGGCAGGTAAGACTAGAGGAATTAGTTAACGTAACAATGGTCACGGATTAACTTTAATTCATAGAATGTTACATGTTGTTATCATGTTACCTTTGTGGGACATTGCTAATGTAACCACAATGTTGTTGGTATACCAAATAGTTTCTTCACATCTCCTCTAATATTTTTTATGACCAACATGATGATTTACTTTGCCATCGAAAACATGGTAAATCAACTTTCATAATAGCAATTTAGAATTTCATTAGTGGCGACTGTGATCTAACTTAGCTGGCTATGAAGTTTACACAACTCTTTGAAACAGTAGCAGATTTAACCAGGACATTTAATATAACGAAATTTTAATTCTCATTTAAATAAAGTTAAGAAAATTCCAATAAATTTTATTTGACCCGTGACATTTTGTTGCAGCGGTTACCGTAAATACAGACCGCCTGGCACGCGGCAGTTACACGACATACTGGGAGTTGAGGGTGGCGGCCCGGCCGCCAGGCGCCGCGGCGAACCCGGTCACTCCGTCTCCGACTACCTCAAGTTCAAGGTGCGTATCTACACCGCCCCATCAATAATCCCCCTTAAGTGATTTAAAATCCACCACAATTTCATAGTGCAGTGTTGGACTATTTCAAGTTCAAGGTGCGTATCTACACGCGCCAGCGCCATAGCGGAGTGTTGGACTCTCTCAAGCTCAAGGCGCGTATCTACACGCGCTAGCGCTTTAGTGCAGTGTAGGAGTGTTTCAAGTTCAAAGTGCTCATGTAGATATGCGCCAGCGCTTTAGTGCAGTATTGGATTGTTTCAAGTTGATTGTACATATTTCTACCACGCGGCACACCTCCATAGTGCAGTATTGAACTGTCTCAAGTCTCAACTTCGACTAAGACCCGAAAATGTGTTACTGCACTTTCAAGGTCATAATTGAACTTACGTGCCGTACCGTGCCTGTGGCTTCGTTACTGATGTGCCATTATTAAAGCGGTGGAATTAAAGATAAAATAAAAAAAACGAAAAAAGAATGATCTCGAATTACCGCGATCTGCCAGTAAAGCTTCTAAGGAAAAATTATTTGCGTATTGATAACGTTTTTTGCCGATTTATTTAACTGATTCTAAATATTGCTAAATCTATTGAACTCATAATTATTTTTATAAATGAATTTAAAATATTGATACTATAGTTCGTGCCAAATCGATTGATATATGAGCCAAGTGTCAAAAGGCGTAACTTACAAAATCTCAATTTAGATGTGATAACAACATTTAACCTTTTGAGCGCCACGCCAAAAACTCACTACCGTGTCCTGTACGCCAAAGCGAAAAGTAAACAAAAATACCTACGAAAAAAACAGTGCTGCCAAGAGTTGATATATCGATAACACAAAATAACTGGTTTTTGTTGGTTTTTTATACAATAAATGACTCTTTATAATCGGGTATGTTTTATTTAATCTTGTGCTGTCTTCCACTCTTTTTATATATGTACTTTGTACATAAATAAAAACAAACAATAACAATTAAATAGTAGTAAACCACAGCACTACTCTCCAACGTAACGTCACTGTCACGACTGGACGACAACGGCGTAGCTGACCTTTCTTTTTGAAACTTTCTTAGAGATGTAGCCGTGTCGCACGTTGTGTATCGATTTCAACATCGATCTAACCAAAATATACAGACATCGATTCAAAATATTTTATGGCGAGGCGTAGGCCAAGTGAATTACAGAAGAAAAGTCACGCTCTTATGACAATGGGGGTTTGATACGATGCTGATGTTGCTAAATGATTTTGAGATTGAGAAAGAAAATCGCACAACACAACATGAAAAATTGCTCTTCATACCTTAAGTAAAAAAAAAACACATTTATTATTTGTAATTTTATATTATTAAAATAAAAAAGGTAGGTACATAATTATTCACTAATCAACAATTGTATATAGGTAATTATTCGCACTAGGAAAATCAGTCTTATAATATTAAAATCTTGGTCATGGAATAAAAAATCAGTAATTATTATAAAAATCAACAAATGGTACATAATTATTCACTAATCAACAATTGTATATAATTATTCGCACTAGGAAAATCAGTCTTATAATATTAAAATCTTGGTCATGGAATAAAAAATCAGTAATTATTATAAAAATCAATGACTTATTACAGAAATCAACAAATTGTACATAATTATTCACTAATCAACAATTGTATATAATTATTTGCACTAGGTCTAGTCTTAAAATATTAAAATCTTGGTCTTTAACTCAATCAGTACTTAATATAGAAAACAACAATTAAAAATAATTAATAAATTATAGGTAATATTAGTCTTAAAATAATTAAAATCTTATGGAATAATAAAACATAAATGTTTAGCTGGCCAAAGCAAATGTTTTAACGTGGTAGAGCCATGCTGTAGTTATATTACGGGAGAGTAGTTGTAGCACGAATGGGTCGGCTCAACCGGGGAAGAACCACGCTCTCACGGAATACCGGCGTCAAATAGTAGCTTAATGCTGCTGTGTTTCGTATGGTGAGTGTAGAGAACCGGAGACCCTCTTTACTGGAAACGAGGCGTCCCATCTTAGTCCTCACGGGTGAGAGCGCATCTGCATTTTGATTCGTAATCGAGGATAGCAATTTATATTCTTAATTCACAAAATTAAACGCTACCAATAGACCTACTAGTCAAAACTCAATACCACTAATGAATAATTTTAATTTTTTTTTAAACATACGTATTTTACTTTATAAATACGTATAATAAAAATATTTTAAAAATAATATTATTTCCTTATAAGAAGTATATAGTTCAAAATCCTAATTTATTAGTCATCGAAAAATAACATCCAAAGTCATTTATTAGAGTATGGTCAGAAGTGTTCTGTACGTTAAGTTGTAGCGTTTCTATTTAACGTACAAAGTTTTTCTTTCTTTAAAATTGTTGAGGCGTTTCCTTAATAATTGCTTACTATGACTGATAAATGATTTATAATATGTGGAAGTTCGAAATTCAACTCCAAATTTCTCGCAGTGCTCAAGAAAGGTAGGATAAAGATATTTCAGTTCTGCATGATCCGACGTTGGAAAATAATGATGAAGTGCATGATATCCAAACCGTGTAAGTGATTTAAAATGGTTGTCATCGTACTCAACTCTCTCAACTAAAGTTTCCAAGTGATGAAGACCCCAGTCATAATACATGTCTCTATAAAAATACAATATTTTGATTTAAAAAAAATACAATTCACGAGAAAACTTGTCATGAAGAAAAATGTATGTAATTACTATCATTGTAGATTGTATGTGTGAGAAAGCCTTTGATTACTGTAAGACGCGAAAGTGTTAGTAACAAAAAAAGAACGTCGCCGCCGAGAACAAAAGAGCAATTTAGTACTAAGTCGACACGCTATTTTAGATCTTAATGTTTTACCATTACATTGATTTTTAGTCTACTTACAATACTATTCGAAACGATTGTAATGCCGAATGGTAGAAAGTCGATATACTATTTTGGACCTTAATGCTTTTTCATTAGGTTGATTTATGATTTATGGTCTACTCACGGTACCTACTTTTTGGAAGGATTATGGTTTAAGATATTTATTTCGCTAAACAATATCACCATTCGCTTTTTGACAGAAAAAAATATCTACTAGTTGCAGTATAACATGATGAGTTATTCTAAACTCGAAAACAAAAACATAAAAATGTGCTCACAAGAGTCGCACGGGAAACAATTCCATTTTGTATCGAACTTATTATATTTAAAATTAAAGAAAATATTATAAAATAATAGATACATAAAATAGGCAATATGCATGTAAGTAAAATAAGTTTAATTTATTAGGAACTTAAGACACTTACCTCACTTAAATCTTCAGGTAATGATTCAGATTCCGAAAATTGATCATCGTCGATAATTTCCAAAATCCGAATGGTTCTGAGGAATCGTTCATGTTGCCACTGCTCTAATTTTCCCGCTAATCGCTTATGACGTCATCAGCGTGTCGTCTATACTTGACCACGGCGCCCAGTGAACTGATTTTCGATGTCGCGCTAAGGATGCGCCAGAGTTGAGATATTAGATTTATTATGCGAAGATAATTTGATAATTTTTTTTATTCATGTAGCTAATTATAGCTTTATATTTCTAACCTTTTGTTTTATTTAAATATCAATAATAATAGAAAAAAAAACACGTTTAAGCTTAATTTTGAATAGTTTTCAATAAATTTATGCCTAACGCATTACAACACTAGCGGTCAAACATAGACGACTTTGGCGTGCTGGACATAGTATTTGCTTAGATAAAAATCCATTTTTTTAGTTCAATGTTTCTTAGTACTTGTGGCTCTAGGAGACTTGTTTTTTATACTCACATGTTGCTGGGTTATTCTTTTTTGAGGGGTGTAGTATTAAAATACCAGTAATAATTTTCCAATGTCTATATTTCATATTTTTGTGGGCCGGGTTTTTTGTCAACTATAGACGTCGTTGGCGCTCAGGACACGCGGGTGCTGGTCACGTATAGACTTTGGCGCTCAAAAGGTTAAATATTGATATTGTTCACACTTCTAGGTCAGCACATATGTTTTGTTTTTTGTTTCTTAAATAATACTGTCTGTAGTTCCTACAAACATCGTAAAATCTTACGGTACATCGCGAAAAATGTGTTATATTTTATATTTCAATTTATGGTAATTAACGCAGCAATTCATTTAATATCGGCCAGAGATGCATCACTTTTTTGGCCCGGCCCGCATGCACCGAATAAAAATAAAGTTCTTATATAATATTGAAAATAAAGTTTTATTTTTTGAATAAGTACGTACTTATTCGGTGTCGTTGTCACTCGAATCTTTATATGTGTTATAAATTAATGCTTTTTGTTGTTAAATGAATAAAGTACTTTATAACAATAGATAATTTTTCTTCTACAGCGATCTTTTATATAACTTTTTAATAATAGTTAATAAATATATATTATATCAATCATTATAAAAATAATAATTAAAAAAAATCATTATAAATAAAGAAAGTACTACATATAAAAAGTGCCTATATATTGAAGATTTGTAGCTCCTGGTTAAACGACCGAAAGGTCAATGACCGTTTTTCTCAATCGATTTGGCACGAACTATAGTCGGTAGATTTTTAAATTACTACATAAGTCCATGTTCTAAAGGGAAAGTAGCAGTAATGATAATGATGACACTGATGACTAAACAGATGAAATGCTAAACTCCGATTAATACTTGTTCATGGTGCTCTTGTAAAAAAAATGTTTCAAAAATATGTACTTTGATCACCCTTTCAAACTGGTTTGAATAGACAGCATGACGTCATAATATGGCGCAAAGTCAGTCCTATACTTATTTGAGTTGCAACATACACGAATTTCTCATCCATATATTATGTATTCATAATTGTCCATATTATGTTATACCATAATGTAAATTTTGCCACAGATGTGAAATCTAACAGGCGATTGTTAAACCCATGTCTTATATGCATGTTTTTTTTTAAGTTTTGTAATTTTTTACTATAGTTTTCGATAAACACCGAAATCAATTTCCAGGACCTCATTCTCCGTATGCTGGAGTACGATCCGAAGCAACGCGTGACGCCGTACTACGCGTTGCAACACAACTTCTTTAAACGCACCGCGGATGAATCCACCAATACGCAGCAAGCCCAGTCGCACCATCAACATGGTTAGTTCAACAAACACACATCGTAACAAAAAAAACAATATGTAATCAACTTACACAATGGGACCAAAATGTATACAATCAAATCAACAAACATTGCCCAGCTGCAAAGGATATAAGGGCATTAATAAATTCACATAGCAAACATTATCACGAATAGGCATACCAATATAAACCATAATAACCAATAAAAAAAAAACAAGTCAATCAATAAAATACAACAATTATTTGACCAAAATGCACCCAACGTAACAAACAAGAGAAACCGGAGATATATTATGCACTTAAAACACCAAAAAGAGAAAAAACCTTATGTTCCCAACCACATAATACTGGAAAAGTGGAAGTTTTCGAGAGGATATCTTAACCTTGTTGGGTTGTTTCATCAATATATATTACAAGCAACATGACCAAATATGAATACATTGCAACAACCAACACAACATATGAACAATAACTTCAGAACCATCAAACATTCTTCATGACAAACAGGACGAATATGCACATAACACAACATGCACCTAACGATCTGCACAAACAACATGATAAACATGGACTTACTTTAACCAACCGAACCCAAAAGCGCATCAGATTATAGAACAGAACGCTAATCAAGCTCAAGTTTTATTGAGATATAATATGGCTTTATTTTAAGATTTTCTCTTTGTCAGTTGAAATATTTAGGTTGATAAGTAAGTTCCTTACCAACTACAAGCTACTGTCATTTGTACTACATTTAATACCATTATTAATCAACACATATCACAAAATCATTAATTACTTGTAAAACTACCACTGATTTTACACATGTAAGTGCAAGCGAAAGGATCAATATGGTATATGGTTACTGATCGAGGGATTAAGTGATATTGTACCTAATCAATTAAATTAAAATAATGAATAATTTTAAGTTTACCAATGTTTTATATCACACTATGTGTTGCAATCAGAAAGGATAAGATAAGAGGCATGATTGATGTTTTATTTGGACTAACTTCTAATTATTTTAACAAATTGGTGTTTACTGCCGTTTATGTTGTACTAAAATTGTTTAGTATTCAATTAACTGTGTTGCTCATTGGTCTTATTATGATTTCAAGCTTGTGTCGTGTTCTTTGCTAACACATAACGCTTCCATCATTTTCATTTCGATTACGGAAACACTAGCTACTGCAATAATTGCATAAGAACAATGTTACTAATTAAAACTTTGATTAAATTTCTGCCAAAAAAATATATATTATAGAAAATTCTAAGTTTATAATTGTCGCGACGAAGTGTTACCGCCTGTAATGGCTGGATAAAATGTATGAATATACATTTTAACAGCCATTTAAAAATAAACGGAACAAAAGGCGTAATGTTTTTCTATTAAATAATTATTATCATATTGCCATTAAGTTTAAGACAACATTTTAAATTACATTACGTCTCTTCTTCCAAAATATTTTTTTATGTGGGCTAAGATCTTCGACTACTAAATGTAATAGTATAAGATTTCCATACTTATGTGTAAATCGGACAACTTTACATATACAACAATAATTTAGTTACCCGTGGAAAAGAAACTTTATGTAAGTGTTTATAATGGCGATGTTCCCGTGGCAGATGGCCCGTCGGACCCGCGATGACTAGAGCGGTCCGGCGGCGCGCCCGCGCGACACTAGCGCCGCCAACTAGTGCCTAACCATTACCTGCCAGGTCTGCCGTCTTCTAATGTCCGAATGTTTACCCCCGTCCTTGTCAGAACTTTGCTTTAAGTAACATTGCATAAAAGTTATTTTGAAATCGATCTGTACATGCAAACACGTATACGTATATAATTGTACGTAAGTATTAATTTTCAGCTCAAAACTTTAGACATTTACTTTTATAAAATTCCATTGTTAACATATTTGCAATTAAACTTTTATGCAATGTAAGTACGTCAGTATTATTCAACTAACATATTCGTGCCATTTAACAACCCCTGTTTACCAGTTAGTTTTAATGTAAGGAAATTTTCTTAAATTTTAATTTAATATTACTCTTTGATTAAAATGTGGTGAATATGATAGTTAAACAACTAAATCATTCGTTAGATTTTCAATAACGCAGTTCATTGCATGCCCGTCAGTTTAACTTGCATGGCTTTTTGTGTTTCCAATCTGCAGCTACATTTACAAATATAGAATTAGGTTTTGCTTTTTCGATAGCTTTTTGTATTTGATTGCTCTACCAGATTTCATTTATTTTTTAAATAGTCAAATGTTATGATATTATTAATATAATAAAAATATAAACATTTTTATTATATTAAATAGGTCAAATGAAATGTAGTTGCAGATTTAGGTTGTGATGAGTGACATTTATAAATGTTGTTAGTGATTTGGTTATCTACTAGGATACGCAAGACACCATCAAATTTACCGTTTAATTATTTTTTGTTATTGGTATAGTTATAAGCAATAAACTACAAGTATATTATATCCTATATAGATACATATAACTAGCTTAACCCTTAGAAGTATATAATTATTGAAGAATATCCTTATTGGTTGTAAATCTTTGTTATTTACTGTTAGGTTGCAAAACGATGTTATTAATCAAAAACAAATAAAAAACATTTGTAACCCACAAGGATACTTCAAATTAAGTTAGAAACACAAAATGACGATTTTTTATAGTTTTAAAGTAATTGTTAGTAATAATAATATTGTTTTGAAATTAAATTCAAATAGATGTCCTTTTTAGTCAATTTAAAAAATATCGTCATTTGAATTATAATAAATCTATTAAAAAATGATTATTATTTTTTTTATGGATGGTGATATTAATAATCGGAAAAACTTAATAAAATATTTTGCTTTATCATGCTATCCGTAAAGAAATAACTATCGATCTTATTCATAAATGTTTTCAATAAAGTACAATCTATGTAACTTTATGAATTAGATCCGATTTTCAATGTTAATTAAGTATCCACAAATGAAAATAACCTGTTCATGTTTAGTGGGCGGCGCACGTCTATGGGGCCCGACGGAGCGTATGGAAGTGGAGGGGGTACGTCGCGACGACGATATGTTGCAGCCCGTGTGCCAGCTACAGCACAGCCCCGTCGCGATACACTAGCCCGAGCCTAACGCCCGCACTCGCGCCCCGCAGCAAGCTGACGGAGCGAAGCGGGCCTCAAGGAAGCGGAGGCGGACGCGGAAGCGGCCACGCTAGTCACACGCTCGTAATAGCGTCCCGCAGCGCTACGACGGTGCGTAGCGGGCCTCGTAGCAGCGGAGGCAAACGACGTGCTAGTTACGTACTCGCACATACGCCTTGCAATAAACCGAGTTAGCGAAGCGGACTTCGAAGAAAAGTAGGCGGACGTGGAAAGGAGTGTGATAGTTACACGCTTGTTCTTACGATCCAAGTGGTCGTGCCTATCCGCTCGAACTTTCACCGAGTAAGACGTTACGAGTGTGTAACTCGCACGCACTCGTACTCCGCCTGGAAAGAAGATAAGTGCGATGGCGTTTAACTTGAAGCTAAGCTCCTAAGCGGCGACTAATGAGTCTTATTATTATAAAAGCATAGTCTTGAAACTAGTGTCTACAAACGTTTAAGTGTGACGCTAGGCGGAAGTGTAAGTGAAAATATCAATGCAAGTACTGGTTTTAGTAGAACTGTTTTGAAAAAAAAGGTACAGTGAGTGCGGGAGAAAATGGACACCCAATGAATCACGGTGCTCAAAATAGACATTTGCATTGTATAGATACAAATTGACGTTTAAGTGACTTGTACTCTAGCTGAGCGTTTAGTTTAATTGCGAGAGACCTGAAAACAGCTGACACGACCGCGATGGTGCCGCGTCTCATTGTTTAGACGATAGTGCTCCTCAGTTGTGTGACGGTTATAGTGCGTTAGTTATGCAAGCGGAGCGGAAGAGAATGCGGACACGGTAGCTGAAGAAACTGGCTTTAGATTAATTCATTGCTCCATAATCGAAGACGATAGACATAATTACGCTCTAGTATTTTGTAAGCCAAAAGCGACGGTCGATTTAGATTAAGTAAAAATCACTCTATATATAGAGGAAGGAAAAGCAACGCCGGCGACAGGCGGTAGTGAATGTAATAATAGAGAAATCGGAACGACTCAGCGAGAACTAGAATGTCTAGTGCATGTGGCGAGACTTGGACTGAATCCATATTTATAATTCTATATTTTTATTTAACGCGATAAGTCAGACTGTAAAGAGAACATTATGGTGACGATTTGTTACTTTGTAACATGTATTGTATTATTTCATAATTGCTTACTTAGAAAAAGGTTCCGAGGGGGTCCCGAACGATCCTACTCACCACATACGGAAGCATTAAGGGCATGAAAGCTAGGTTTTTTTATTGTTACGCAATGCATATCAAGGACGCAATATGGTAGAAAATAAATATTGTATATAAATTTTAGAAACCTGACATATAATGAATACAGACTGCAAATATAAAACTGGTTAATCTATAGTTTAGTTATGGTCTATGCTAGTTAAGCTTCATTCAGTTATATTAACGCAAGCTTTATATTTTTAATCAAAGGGCCAATTCAATATTCTTTATTACAGAATGCAACCAGTGAGAAAATGTAATATAAATATTTGATAATGAATATTTTTTGATTGCACAAATCATTTCCATTTCGATATCAAAAACGTGTTAAATTATTTGAAACGTTGCCCTCGCATTTCAGAGTTGTTGTATATTGTAAATTGTTTAGTTCAATCTCGAATGCATAAAGCTTGAGGTTATGCACAACACACTGAAATTGTGTAAATGCATATAGGTTATTTTGACCCGTTGGAATATCCAAACGATATGTAAAGCAGAATAGTGTGTAGGTAATTCTATTAAAAAATAAATAAAAATAAAACACAAAATGTACTTGTAGGTTACGGGTATGTTTGAATCATATATAAAGAACAAATTTTGGGCATTGCAGATAGAAGTTAATAAATTGAATAAATGACTTGTTCAACCTTTTTTGGATTTGAATCTACAATAGACTAACCTCATCGCAACAGACTGGTCATTTGTAAAGGAAATATTTTGTACAGCATACACTGAATCACTGCCTTATTGTGCCGTTAAACTTTATATGAAGATGCGCCGTACTGATTTGCGACTATTTCATTTACTAGAAATTTAAATAAAAAACTTCGGACGCCATTACACAAAGCAATATTTTTTTGTTGACTGTACTTATGAACATCAATATTTTTTGAAAATATACGAAAACATTTTAGATCCAATAATAGTTGAGCCCGGTAAAACAGAATAGTCGCGTCAGTGTAGCGCTGGGTTTAGCGGCTTTATCGTGAACTAATTGTATAGTACGAATGTAAGTTTCATTTTTAATCGACTGAGGTTTTGTGGTCACAATAGAGCCGTTAAACAACATCGCAACTGTAAGCAGATTTTTTTCTTTCTGCAAAACGTTGCTGTGTTTCTTTTAATAAATTCCCCATTCCACACACTTGTATGGTGTTATTGTATTTGTACATGAAGCATGAAAGTATTTCTTCCCTCGTATATCGCCTTAACGCGCTGCCACTGTCTCTTCCAACGTTAATTTGATTTCATTGTAGATTTGAATCTATTCTTAAATCTTGACTGTTTCGAAAAGTATACATTTTTCGAGTGTCTATATAATGTTTACTGTAATACTTTTTTGCTTCATGAGGTTGTAGGTTGTTAGGAATATAAGAAATAGGTATGGGATACAGGATTGAAATGATTAAATAGGGGAATAAATTGTATCGCGGGCAGGTTTCCGAACATAATTTATGTATAACTGTATTTATTTTTATTGTAATAGTCGATATATAACTACTATATACTTAAAGCTCCTATCAAAGCGCGGGGTAAGAAGGTACGAGTGTTGCTTCAGCGATTATTTTACACATAAGCATAATTGTATAATTGATTAGTTCTATCGCTCGCTTAACGCATCGGTTCATCTTTCCATCCGAATCGAATGAAAGCACTATTTTTTTTTAATTATTCGACATGACGTATCCTTCGACGAACATGTACCGATGCGAAGCGGGCGACACTTGAGCAATGACAGGGAAATCTGCCGTTTCATATATTTTATATAACAAGCTAGTCTGGTCGTGGATTAACGACACGAGTGAAATACCAACCTATTTGAATAGCTTCTAACTGAAACCATTACTCAAGGACGGCCCTAGATTTTTGCGCTTGAGTATATAATTATACTTATTTATTTATACTGTGACATGCGTGGATTATATGGAATGTGTAAAGATAAACGAGAGATAAATGTTTATTTCCTATCGGATTGTCGGTTCGTGGGCACTGTAACAATAAAAGGATAGAGCTTTATGTCACTAAGTTTTGTATTTTAAATCAATAAACGATAGCAATGATTTTTGTGTTATTTTATTGACTTTATTTCATTCAACAATATATGATATTTTTGTTGGGCAAGGTTCCTGAAGGTAAGGTATATGTCCAACTGTGGGCTTTCACCACTGACCTCTGTATATACAAGTAAGCTGGACTGGATATACCATACAAAATATCTGTGCCGATTTGAAGCGCCACCATTTTCCGTACCGGGAATTAAAATTGACATATTTTCTAAAGGTTGTTTCAATCTTATCCCTGTATTTTGAACTTTTAAACCAAAAAACGAAAGTATTTTATGTGGTTTGATTGTGTATAATTTTCGTTACATAATAAAAATTATTTTTAATAATAATGGGAGTGTGCGTAATATTTAAAACTCGTTACCAAAAGGAAATTATTATAAATTTCTGCAAGTAAGTGAATTTGCAGCTAATATTAAACAAAACTATTTTTTAATACATATAGGTACTTAAAATTTGTTACTAATCTTAATATCTTAATTACCAACGTGTTTGGCTTGATATTACTGAGTTATGATTAACAATAAAATTCAATAGAGTGTCCGAATCCTTGTCTATAATATTTATCAATGTTCTTTCCTACAACCAAAGTTGCCGACAACAGATAATTATATAATCTTTATTAACAGGTTTCGAACTGAACCTAGACTAAAATTATAGCTTAAAAGCACAAATATTTGAATTGGCGTCCGAAACAAAATTATTATCTTTGTTCTAAACATTTCACAGACGAATGTTTTATTATACGGCCATATAGCGAGAGGTTTAGAGGTTCTCAAGCATATGATACGTAACTAGAATGAACGTTACGGGTAGAGGCCTACTCGTAACGTCGATTCTATTAATTTAGATATAGTTAGGGTATAGAATTTTATCGATATTTGTCACACTGCCTTATCTCTATTATTAGTTCCGTAGACCTTCACTTCTACTGTCGGCGCCAAAATGGCGCAAATCAAATCTCATTATGTCACGGTGTGTTAGCCCGTTCATTTAAAGTGGTCAGTGGCTTTCACAGTATTCTTATAAAAAGTACTTTATTAATTAGTTTCAGGCTTAAAAAAAGAGTCCATTTCACTATTGAAATAGGCGAACCTTAGAGTAATAACATATAATGCGAACCAAAGTGTAGTGTGGTATTGGACAACAAATGTTCAAAGAACAATGGTGAACTTCCAAATTTTTTTATTGATATTTCATTTGCGTCTTCAAATGAAAAATATTTAAAAGTATTGAGTCTGAATGTCTCAACGAATTTAAACTTAACTAACTGCAGGAAGTCTAGAATTAAAGATATTCCAGTTTGATCAAAACACACGCGTCTAGGCTGTATGTAATAAGACCTCTGCCTGCTTTAACACTGGCGTTGCGGGTAAGGGACTTCCTTCGTGACGATTCTATTCTTTAAACCCGAGACTATTACAAAAACTAGGTTATAGTTAGTAAATAAAGAAGTCTTTTAGAAAATATGCGAACTAAAATGTACATATATAATATCTAGTCTAAGACCTACTACTCTCCGCTAGGAGTAAAAATATTGTGCTAACTACTCTATGATCAACCAGTAATCCTTTAGTCTCAGAGTTGCCCGCCACTTTTTATATTGTGTATTGTTATTTAATATTAAGTTAATAAGAAAAGCATAACCTAAGATTGCTGTGGTTGCGAACATTATCATTTATCACCAAAATAA